AACAGCAACATACAGAAAATTAGTCTATAAAAGACAAGAACTATAATTATTCATGGTTGTAATCCTATATTGCACTAGTTACCCTCAAGACTGACTTGACCTAATAACCACAAAAAATTAATGAATAAATAAGTATATGAATAAAGAAATGAAAATTAACTATTGCTTCCAGTGGTGCATACTTGTGTATGTAAATACCTGTCTGGTAATCCTCACCTGAGTATCATCCACAGACAGACTGAAGTCTGTATATATTTTTCTTCCTGAAACCTGTCAACTCAGTTCTCCTATCTTTCCTTACACACGCACCATTTTAAAGTTAATTTAATCCTAGCCTTGCTGTCCTGGACATAACCCCATATTAAAGTAAAATAAGTTGTTTTTTGTCCTGAAATGCCGTCCACGGCAGCGCTGTACCAGGAGGAACAGGGTCCCAGACCCTGGCACTACCTGGTTCTCTGAGGATGATTATCATAACTGGAACATGCCTCGGAGACGGTGAGTTTTCAATGGGGGAAATCTTTTTGATAGCATTATCAGATAATATGTGTGGTCTACTGCGATAAAGAGAATATTTTAGTGGGGTTGTGTTACCATTATTTCACCAGCTTTTTTTTTTAAGAACAAGATTTTGATTATTTTGATTTTTCTGTAAATTCATGTAAATATGTAAAATGACACAACATATTTTTTTGCTCTTCACTTCTCTAAATTATTTTCTTTAGTAACTATTCACATGCAACTAAAACCATGAAAACGGTTGTCATGAATTTATCTTCAACATACACTAAGATTCATAAATATAATATATAAATTCTATCACTTTTGATATTGTCACTGTGATGATAATTGTAATACTTGTACATTGCCAAGATATATTCTTAAACCTCAATCCTGAAAAATTTCAAAATTATTTTAATGGATAACAATTCATCATAGGATATACAAATTAATATAAACAGATACTGTTTTTCTAGCATCTATCCCAAAATTTTCAAACACCTATACTAGTAAGTACTAGTATTTAGGCAGAGTTGGTAGCATTAATCAAATAAATACATCTCAAATGTTATACAATTTCTCCTGTGTAGTAGTTTTTTTATAGAGCTGCAAATATTTCACTGCATGCTATACAACTGTTAAAATTCTTCACAGATGTAAGACAGTATGTCAAGGTCAAGCCAAAAACAACAAAACAGATCAGTTTTTTCTCAAATGCTTTTCAAAAGATAGAGAGCATTGCCATTTGGTCTTGTTTAATTGGGATTGCTCTGTCCAATCAGAACAAGTCTCTTAGTTTTTTAAGGTTAGTTTGGGTGTGAATTCATCACCACTCCATGCAGGCAATGTATGGTTACATACTACATGTAGTACCTCAAATAATGGTCAATTTCTAGTGTTTCCAAACCAATAAAATGAAAAACTCTTTCTATGCTGAACAGTCTGATGTTTATGATGAAACAGACACGACATGTGGCAAGAGTAACATCCTCCATCCCAAAAGAGATGCGCTACCTTTTCATTGTAGGTTTCTTATGTAAAAAACATGGTATATATATATATATATATATATATATATATATATCTTTCACCTACTTTATCTGCTTGGTGCTAATTGGTTGTACTAAAAAATCGCGAAATTTTTGCGTTTTTGTGTGCCACTAGGTTTAGTAACTTCAAATATGAGCCTTATCTTTGTCTTATATCACACCATAAGGCTGCCCAGCCATGCGTAACATAAGGAGTTCAGACAACATGCATTTGGGATGAAGACAGACCATTTCTAAAAAAAAAAGTCTGAAAATATAGGTGCTGCAGGGGTGCAGCTCCATATGGGGGGTGGGGGGGACATGGGGCATAAATAAAACACCTATATATCTGAATCAATACGGACAACTTTATTCTCTAGACTTTAGTTATATGCCTATAATTATAAATTATTAATTTGAAATCTCGTTATATACCGTATATATATTATTATTTCAAAATAAAGACTGAAAATGGCAATGAAATGCTGCACTCCTCAATATGACAAAAGTGCAAACTGCTTACACTTTTCGTGCGCGCGTTTTTAATACAAACATCATGTTCAACACATTGAACATGTTTATGGGCAATTAAACAGAATTAAGGAAAGGTGAATGGATGATTAGCAACCTGTAAAGAGGATTTAATAGTTTTGTTTATGGGACAGATTTTGTTCATTAAACAATAGTTTCATAAAGACAGGCTAGTTACTATGCATTGTACCCCACATCATTGCAAGTGAAGGCTAAGTTTGAGTACATTTAAAATGTTTTATTTTTCAACACATATAGCTCCATTATTGAGATAAGTCATGTATTTGTATGAGAGGGCTTGCACGTTAGCTAATATGGTTTCCTTGTTCCACTCTTACTTTACAAGCAATGCACTGAAGAGATAAACAGACAAAAACCACAAATTTGAATGTGGGAACACACCCTACCATTACCAACTAGCTTTGCTATGTGCTATAATTCTGTTTCACGTGTTAAAATAAACCTTGGTAAATATTTTTATCTTATAAAATTATTTCACACTAATATCAGGACAATTTAAGAAAAATATATTTTCTCAACTGAATCAAAGTTTTGAATTTGGCAAAAAATCTAATATATGCTACATAGTGATGCCAATACTAGTATTTGTTTGAAATTATTTAAGTTTTTCACTTGAAAGCATGGCAAATTCTTACCATATCTGACAAAAAAGGTAAAATGTTTATGTAAAGCATTCTTCTATTGGAATTCTCAATTATCCTAGAAGTGATCAGTAAAACACATGCATGGAACAAGGAAGTAAGAAAGAACCAAAGGTTTGGTGACATTTACAAACAGGTTGAAACTCTCTGCAGGTTTTATCTTTTTTTTTTCTCTTCTTTCAACTCATTACAAAATATCGTGCTGACAGGTATCTGATTACCATTTCTTCTGTAACAAGGGACTTGCTGAAATAAAAACCCTTTACATGATATCTACCCAGCAACCACTACATCAGAACAAAAATCGACTACTCTCAATAATAATACAGTACATTTGCATTGACAAGTAAGTTCCATCCAGCCCCCAGGGGGATAGGACAAACCCCTCATGACCCTCACCTCATGGTTGATGTAGGTCAATTCACAGCCATCTATTACAAAGTCTTAAAAGAATGTTTACCCCAGAACACCTGAGCAGGTAAATGACCCGGAGGCATCAGGTTTCATGACAAGTCTTAACAGAGATGAAACAGCACATATACCCTGGTATGGTGTTACTGTGTGGATGGCATTTTGAACATCCTAGTTTTCAGGGCTAACTACAGACATATGGCCAGCAATTTCAATTTAAGAGGATTCCTTTTTCCCTTATTGGGCAAAATTTGAAAAATGGCATAAAGCCTAGAGCAAATTTTGATTGACGGTGGATATTCCCCCCCCCCCCCAAAAAAAAAACTTTTTTCACTTTTCTCCTCCCTAACTATCCTCTACAAGGCCTATAATACACTAATAGGTTCTATAATTTTGCATGGCTTTTGTTGATAAACCAAATATGAGAATTCTCACCCTTCACTTGCTCTCCATGGCAATATTGCTGCTCCACATCTAAGGACAATTTATAACATTTAGATGTCTTCTTTAATGTGGAGGAGTGGTAATTGATGTTTTTCATGACGCAAATTGACAAAAAACATCAATGTAATCATGATTAGAATTTTCATATCTTCCTCGTTGCATACAAGAGTTCGTTACAAACGTACCAGCTTTACATTAGCGGTGGTTGGTAAACCATGCTATTTTAAAAGTACTTTCTCAACTGTAACTCCACTGCATTTTAAAATGATTTGCCTTGAGGGGTTTCATTTGCTTCACATCTCTATCATCTTTCACAATTTTCTATTGCACTTTTGGGCTAACTGTACTAAGAAAATCTAATACGTATACAAGTAGCCAGAGCTTATATAAAGTTCTTCATCTAAAAGTGATGGATTTAATTGTAATTATACACTTTTTTTTTTGTTGTTGTTGATGAATGATTGTTAATTGTTCTGATTAATTATCAACCAATATATAATTAAAATTTAACTGAAACATAGCTCTACTTTATGACCCATATGTGTGAGTAGTGAAATGAGGTCAAGCAAGGGGGAGGGGTCAAGAGAGTTACAACTATGTTTGTTTGCACACGTCTTGAGTCCGCTGTAAACACACGTCCTGATCACCTTGTACACTGATGTAACACAGGGTCCACAAACCATAATTTTATACTTCGTACAATGAACTAACTGCACTATGTGCTCTGTGACCATGCAGATTAGATATGGAAGCTGGTCATCACGAAAACAAAGTTCTTTAGCTGTGCAAGGACATTTCATAAATATTTCAGTGTCAGCTATGGTCAAGTGCAAGTCAAGTGCCCAATCCTGGCCAATTACTAGGGTTCAGAGTTAAAAATTAATTTGCAACAGCTTTGATGTCTTACGTGCGACAAAATTAACGTGATATTTTCATACTTATCCCGTTGTTAAGTAACTAATTACATCGATGTAGAAAACAAAGCCTAAGGCAAGAACCATATCTTGTCATTTTGTAGTAATTAGACTAGATTTAAATCGAATTTCTCTACGACACTGAAATGCAAAAATGTCATCGACTTTGCATCACTATCCACTTACCTTGTAAAGAAATACGGACGGTACAAGTCACTCTCGCTTTCCTTAAATTTACTCCGGTCACTCCTACTTTGAAAGTAGGTGGTTTCTTCCTCGTACCTTGCACCTAGACGGCGACTGACGGGAACTGCACAGCGCCGACTACCGGAGAAATTAGTAACCTTAATTAAACGGAATTCATCAGGAAGACAAGTTGTACACAAATGTCTAAATGGTAAATTACTTGGTATTCGACCTACAGAAAAGTCATTACATTAAACAAAATGAGTTTACATAAGTAATTGCCCCAGAAATGGAGAAGTTTCTTTTTGGACGCGAGAGGTCGCGAGAGGTCACGATACTTCCAATCCATCATGGAGGTGGAAGAATCTGAGGTGGCTGAAGAAAATGAAGTATTGGATGACGACGAGCTTGATCCGCGGATACAGGTAATTTGAGACGCTTAAAATAAAAGAAATGTTCTGTTCCTAAAGGTAAAAAGGCAAAATATTGTTAATCACAATTTTGTTTTTGCATATGCATCTTTGACATATGCCGTTCTGCTAGTTTTAGACAGCCAGTTTTAGATAGTGGGAAATTTTCATGAACAAGTAGTGACAAGAGTACCGATTTGGGGGAAAACAGCTGACAAGACGCGGGATCGAACCCGAGACGCTCGCCTTCAGTGCAAGTGCTCTACCACTAAAATATAGAGCCCGGATCTAACCCGTCCAGTCACTAAGTTAGTACTTCTGCTCTGCGAGTTTTATACAATGTAATTGAATCATCTCTGCTTGTATGGGGAAACTGACATTTGAAAGTTTTTGCTGACGAAGTACATTTTTTATTTTTAGAGTTGTCAGCTGGATAAATTGTTTGCTTTTGACACAATATGAAAAATACAGTATTTTGACAAGTTTTTGTCCCTGTAGTGTAGTAATTAAATTCTGAAATGTTTTACTTTCAAATTTCATGGTTTTCATATAAAGCCAAACCCAACAAATTAAAACAAAATGAAGACAAAAATCTTGTTTGTTTTCAAATAAAACTATTTTAATGTTTTTAAAACATGTCACATATCTCAATCAAAAAATTAGTAACTGGTGTTTGTTACTGTATATTGTAATCTTTTGATTTTTGGTTTACAAAAGTGAACAAGGAAATTGAATTTAGTGATAGCAGGAGACATTACATGGTCTTCAAGCTTTTAATAACCTTGCTTTGAACACTTTATGTGCTGCAACTTGACAGTTGAACACATATCACTTGCAATTCAGATTACAGGATAAACAAGATTTGGAATTTTGCGGGACACATTCAGTTGAAAAATAAGAAAAATCTATTAGATGGATATCTTATCTTTGTTCCAATGAAGCAAATGCAAAATCTTTCTTTTTTCATTTTTTTTTTTTTTAGGACATTGCTGTAATTTCAGGATGTTGCCATTATCATACCTTTAAACTACATGTAGGACTCATTATCCAGTCAGAACATTGAGTTTTAGTTTAAAAGCTTTCATATGATCCTAACACAGTCTATTTAGAATGAATATAAACAAGATTAGCCACTTCTTTATTTAAAAAGCAATTTGACCATAAATATTACATAATCTTGGAGGCATTGTTTTAGTCGATTGAGTGAAATTATACTTGCAGTGTATAGATTGGTATGTGCCTGAGTCAGTAACTTGGAATACACCCAATACAACCAATACAATAATATGTTGTTACAACAAATTTTATTTTTTAAAGACAGGGAAATTTTTTAGTTAAGACTATGCTTATTTATACACTTGCAAACATGGAGAGTATACACGGTTTTCTTTAGGAGCACTGTTTAATATTGGTCTGTGATACACTGTCATAAAAAATACCCCCTATTTTCTGACCTGTCAACTTAGAAGTGACCACCATTTTTCATTCGCCAGGTTCCAAACAACCATAGATTGAACATCTGGTGGAAGTCTAAGGTGCACTCATGTGACAAAACTGCCCATCCCAACAGTTGCTGGTGAAACTTTGACCTTTTTTTCTTTATATTGAACAAAATAAGAAGAATTTTTGGAATATTTTACAAGAGAAGTTTTAAAGAAGGGCAGTAATGTTTTTTGACATAGAGCAATAAATATAATGTGACATATACAGGGCTGTAGTCCCAGGTCCAAAATGTCAAGAATTTGCGCTATGCAAAGAAAAAATAATAAAATGAAGTAAGATATATTAAAAAATAGATATAAATAAATAAGTAAATATGTAGTGCACATTTGTCATTGAGTTTCGTGCATATGAGACCAAGTGGCTGTGCACTTTTTTTCTACACTTCAATACAGTTAGAAGAGAAAGTAAACTAAGCAGTATGGTTTACTCTTTTAAATTTTATTCAGTAGTTACAAAGATGCTAAAATGTTTTACAGAGGGTAAAAGGAATGTGAGAGAAAGGAAAATATTGTGTAATGACATAAATTTACAAAAGTCAGTAAGGCTACTAGAAAGGAATGCTGTCATTTTCAATTTAAATTTAGGTCTTGGTAACCACCTGTTATTTCCACATTATTCTTTTTTAAACAGAAAGGTACAAAAAAAGCCTTTTATAACTGAATACAATCCATATTGATGCACATTGGCTGCTGTTTAGTATATATTTAAGTCAGAGATATAAAACTGGTCTGTGAACCAGGATACAGACACATGTACACAGTAATTAATGAGGGCTAGGTCCATGAGCAAACTCTATGTCGACTAGTGATATGCATACTAATTCTAAGCTATTACATGGAGAGGTTCTCTGGTAATTTTCACTTAGTATGCAATGTCAGGTTGATTGAACTGCTCATTAACCAAGTGTTATGTGGCAGTTGATGTTTGGTTGTACTAGGTCTTAATTGCCAGATTTGGACTTAGTTCAGAAGGGAAGGCAGATTTATTGAAATGTATCCAGAATGCAATTTTTAATACAAAATACAATTTAATTCATGTGATTAGATGTACCACTTGTGACTTGGATTGCCCTTCATTGGTGTTGTCCAATTTCCAAGACATTAATTTGATGTCTGATACATACATGTATACGTACTAGTAGTATAAAAATCACAACAGATATCAATAATTATTTAATATCTTTTATACATGTACCTATTATGGATTTTACTAGATTGATACTAATGCTTTTTGCACTGTGCTGTTCTTCTTATAATTTATTATTATTAATCACTTCGAGAAATATCTTCTACAAATCATCAGAATGAAGGGTTGATGTAGGAGATTCATATTTTCCTGTTAGATATGTTATATATAGCCAGTGTTTTATCAAACTTTGTTTATTTTCAGATTGAACTGGAAAAACTCAACAAGGCAGCAGACAACATCAACAGATTAGACATAGAACTAGAGGTATGTGTTTAAACTTCAACTGATGAATGTGATAAGTTGCTGTCAGGTTAAGCTGCCTGTAAAACCCAATGATTATTATATAGCCCAGTGTTATTGGTATGGTTTTATCTCTATCTCATCTCTTGTTGAATAGTGATAGCTGTGGGGTATTTCTTATATATATCATTTCCTATGGAATAGTCATGACCATTTGGAGATTCTCCTTTTTGGTGTATAACATAAAAGATGTCATCCTGGAGAAAACATGCTGTTTTTATCTGTTGTACATATATAAGGCTGAAATAATGATAATAATAATAACCCACATTTACTTCTAAATTGTAGTTAGGACCAAATAGGATAGCAATTTGGCATTGCACAGAGATATTGCTATTGTTGTTGTTATCCAGAATAACCTTGAATTCAAATTGTCATTACTAGCACATGAAGTGATATTGTCTGTTTATGTAGACAAAAGGTTGATTTTCACAAAAATTTAAGTAGCCATGTTTTTTCTCAGATATCAAGGTATATTCTGTTAGAGTTCCAAACCAATGACAGCCCATCAACTGGTGATGAATTTGAAGGATGTTGGGATTTGACATCTTTTGAAAATTTTTGTCACAGCTATGGCTGACATTTGATGATCAGATGGATGTGACTTCTTTTTTTGCAACTCAGAGGGCCAAAAATGCACTGACAAGTCTCCTTTCTTCATATGCCAGTTTTTTCTCCACATCAGTTGAAATTAACCAGATCCCATCTTCACAGAAGAATCTAAGTTGAAAGTTGTTTTAAACTTTCTAAAAAGCATTGAAAGTTATTGTCTGCTTTTTTGCAATTGAATAAAGAAACCTTGAGTCCATGTTTATGTAATAGGACTTATCTAGGTGGACTATTACATGTACAGTGTGCATGTACTGTAATACTTTATCTTGACCAAAAGTAGACTAGAATTTCCAGTGTTAAACTTGAGACCATCTTTCCACCTAAGTTATCTTAGAATCCTACCCCGGGGTTCAGGTTTAGACAGTCAGTTTGTAAATGTATCTCGTTCTCAGCTAAAATAATAATGTTTCTAGGCAACTCAGCAAAATCAAATATTTAGCTTGGGAAATGGATATTATGAAAACATTGGCAGTGTAAATGATGGGTAGATTCTGCGCAGGAGGGGGAGGGGGGTTGCATAACATCACTGGTAGATTGACAGATTAAGTGAAGAAAAAGCAACAAAATGTCTCCCCCACAAAAAAGTGAAAACTTATTCAAAAAGTAAGGAGTATTAGTTGTCACCAGTGTACTATGTAGGTATGAGCAGATGTTAAAAAAAGAATGAAAAAAGAAAGAAAAAAACTGAAATAATTCTCTAAAAACAAAGCATTGAGAATGCCTAAAATAAGTGCACTTCCACATTCTGAATAAAATCTAGCTTGCCAATACTGTGTTTCAAAGATAAGCTATTAGGATACGTATGAAGTGAGTGTACATGTATATAGTCTTGGGGGACATGCGAATGAAGATTGATCTCCTAATAAGATCTAAATAACTTGTACTCATCGTCCGATAAATATGACTTGATTTTGATTTTATGGAAAATTAAGGACTGGGGATGGGAATATGTAGAATGAATGGTTCTTTGCTGATAACAGACTTGATGAAGACAAAGATGTTTTCAATCAAGGGCTCATTAAGATGATACTGCAGACCATATTGATGTAGATATTTTAATGAAGTCTCTCTATTCTGTTCAAGATTGTATTAATTGATATCCTCATTGCTTCACAGATACACTGATCTTGAATTAATTATCAATCCCAAAGGAAATGAGAGCTTTTGCTATCAAGTCCTATTTCAAGCTGAAAGCCAAGCAGTTGGGATAAATAGACACTGGTGCAGTGGGGGTCTGTTTTATGTCTGAATTGTACAAGAAAGAGCTAGTTTATTTTGTCAGTGTTCATTTTATGCATTATGACAACTTTTGATGAAGAAAGTGGTTGAATAACAAAGAAGAAATGGTTCATGTCCAGGGCCGTAGCCTCCGGGGGGGCAGGGGGGGCAGCTGCCCCCCCTGGGATTTGAGGCGCAAATATGGCAAAATGGCAAAATGAACCCACAATTTTTGACTTCTGATTGAGCAATAAATAACAGTTAAAATGCACCAGAATGCAGTATTATACATACAGTTTTTTAAAAAATTTTCCAAACCCACCCCACCCCCTCGGGGGCTTAGCCCCCTCGTGTCCGCTTACTGCCCCCCCAGGCATTTTGCCCAGGCTACGGCGCTGATGTCATACTTAATGCTTTGAGAGGTGCATCACAGTTGGCCATTGTAAAGGGCAAACCCCCCCCCCCCCCCCTTCCACAAAAATCTGGTTCTAGCATTGACTGCTTGTAGCATTTAATAAGCAGTGGTTATGGAGATCAATATTATGTGTAGGAGTGTGTCAATACTGGCTGATCTGGAGGAGGCAATTATTGGGGTACCTCCCCCCCCCCCTACAAATCCCTGTACCTATAGGTGATCATGCAGGTAATGATAAGCAGTAGAGACATTCCAGACTTGCAAATTTTTGCAAATGTACATTTTTCCATTACCAACTCTTTTATCCGGTAACTTTTATCTCCAAATGGATAGCATACTAGTAAGCATGCATCACAAAATGAAAGGGAACCAATCTATATTCATAATTATTTATAGTGTCTAGATTTTTTCCCTTGCACTTTCTAGCGTTAAGTGCAATGCATGGACGGTGATGGAAAATGTTTTATTGATTTATACACCACTTGGCTGCTTAATCATAGCAGCTTTTTATAAAGAGATAACGAGAGGGGAGATTGTTATTGATTTTTTACTCCACAGTGAAAGAGAAATGTTTAGTGCAAACAGATGCTGTGAGTGTATTTATGGTTTCATTGAGATAAAAAGTGTTTGATTTTTGCTTCATTTATTTAGACATTAGCAAAGCCATGATTTATTGATGAGGACAGCATGGCAATACTGGATAAATACATGGCCATATTTTGATTTTTGCATTTTCCCCCATTTTGGAAACTGCAAGTTTTGTGGCACTTAATTTCTATAAGTGTACATTTAGGCAGGGTTTTCAATTACAGCTTTGTGAATGTTTTGATGTACCTTCCTATTTATGTGTTTATTTTCTTACAAAAAGGAAATGTATCTTACATTTTTTATAAACCATTGAAGATTAAAATGATTTGATACAGCTGACTTGCTATTTTTATATATAATTTAGAAGAAAAAACTGAAATATTGAATTCAGTTTCTTCATCAAGATCTGTTCTATACTATAAAAATGATGTTCCAATTTTGTTCAAAATGTTTCAACAGAACTGAAACTTGACATTGCCCACTGATTTCAAATTGTTGATAATAACACACTCACTAAATAATTTTCACAGGAGGCAAGATATGCATTCCGCCAGTCTCTCAAGGAATCCACACATAAACTGGATGAACTTGCTAAGAAGCTGGGGCACTGCATAGAAAGGTCCAGACCATATTATGAAGCCAGGCTGAGAGTCAAGGAGGTGAGGGGGACCAGGGATCACTTAATGAAAGAACTTTAAGTTGATCTTACAGGGTGTGCCATTAGATACTAACTCAAGGTGTATCTCCGTCCAAAGGGAGGCACAGGGCTAGTATAAAAACCATTCATGCTGCCATTTACCAAAGTTTTGTATAATATTATACTTGATAATGTCATACAGATAGTAGGTTTCATGTTCAAGATTACATTCTGTGCTTAATTTCTGCACCTTTTACAAGAGATTCTCTGCTGCACTCACTTCCCATGCTTGCTCTTGCTTGCTTGGTAAATAGCCACCAAAACTTGCGAAGTGCACCTTTTACCAGTATATAAATACTGTGAATTTCTGTGATATTTGAAAGTATTATTGAGAAAAAATTTAATTTCTCCTGCAGGCTCAGAGTGAGTCCCAGGAGGCAGCATTCCGCTATGAGAAGGCGTGCAGTGCGCAGGCGGCTGCCAAGGAGATGGTCTGCCTGGCAGAGGAAGCGTACATGGACCGCGGAGAACAGTTTGATACGGCGTGGCAGGAGATGCTCAACCATGCCACCATGAAGGTGGGTCAGGATTAGATGTGCATATCTTTCACGTGTGGGACAGTAGAGAGTATTTATGATCAGATTTTTGATTTTATGCATTACATTCATTCACCTATCCATTATCCATCCTTCCATCTTTTTATTTACTTACTTACTTGTATGTCTGTCTGTCTGTTTTTCTGTTTGTTTGTTTGTTTATTTATTTATTTATTTATTTATTTATTTATTTATTTATTTATTTATTTATTTATTTATTTCAAGGAAAACTGGGCACAATGAATTGAAGTATGAAATCCTCCATTAACTGAGGGTACAGCTGCATGAAGATAAAGGAACATAATTAAACTTTTCATTAGAAATAATAAAATTTATTGATGATAAAATATGCCATATTTCCAGGAGAACGAGGCAGAGAAGGAGATGAAGGAGTGTGAGATCATTCACAAGTTGAAGATGGAGCTGTATGAGGAGGCTGAGAGACAGGTGAAGGAGTTACACAGGGAGTTCAAGAGAGCCATACATAAGTCTAGGTAAGTTCCTGGAGCTACTGGTACACCTTGGAGATATTTAGAAAGTCTTTTGTATGTTATGGATGGATTGAGAACCGATTTTTATGACCTTATACAATACAGGGCTGTGGGCGATCTCAAGCACATTTCTCTTTTGAGAAGCTGATACATGTACTGTAATGCCAGCTTTGTTTTGTAGGCAAAGGTTTTTTTTTTTTTTTTTTCAGAATTAATTGTTGTGATTTATTACTATTGTATGACTAAAATATTACATGTTTATTATTACTTGTACATTGAAAATATCTCAGCTGCCCAAAAAATTGTGTTAGNTTTTTTTTTTTTTTTTTTTTTTTTGGTAAAGTTTTTTTTTTTTTTTTTTTTTTTTTTTTTTTTTTTTTTTTTTTCAGAATTAATTGTTGTGATTTATTACTATTGTATGACTAAAATATTACATGTTTATTATTACTTGTACATTGAAAATATCTCAGCTGCCCAAAAAATTGTGTTAGTAGATTGAAATGCTGTGATTCCTAATAAGGGCATGGGTAAAACATCTTATTTCTGTAGATTCTGACTCATTAACACAACTAACATTGGTCCTGCATAATTATTAACATCATGTTGTATTTAATTTTCTGTGATAATTGGAATTTAATATCTGAACATATTGGCTTGGCAAGCACTAGAAGCTGAAAGTTAATTTTTGTAGTAAAACTTTTCTATTAAAAACCATTTTAAAGATATGACTTGAAATGCAGTTCTCGAGGATTCTACCTCGAAATATGAATAATGCACGTAGACTTTACATGTTGTCTTTACTTTAAATACAACAAAGTTTAGTCATTTTCATTATTGGTCCAAATACTAGTACTTAATAATTTGACAATCTTCTCCTTCTCTCCCAGTCTGTCAGCTAGGAGAAGTATGCTTCAAATGAGTGCTATAGCCAATCTTCATCATATAACTCTTATGTAAGTAATCAATGTAACACCACACCTAACAGCTAGGAATCCTTTCACATAAAAAGTTGGGTCAAAATTCAGTCTTGACTTTAGGCCATCAAACGAAATTCTGTGCTGGGATAAGTTTGTTGTATGTCACTCAGAAAAGAACATAGTTAGGCTTATTTTCAAAAAGATATGCAATGGCTTGCTTTTATACTTATGAAGTTGTGGCTTTAATTTTAGTGGCTGTTGTAGTTGACTAAAATATTGCTTTTAAAGAGAGCATTCACATTGAGAAGAGCCAAGGTCTAGTAAGGCCCAGACCTAAATATGGCAGACCTACATGAAAGGAAGGCCACGTAATCCTTTAATGGTCTCAAAGTTGAGCCTGAATTTAGACTCGAGTTCTTGTGGAAACTGTGGCTTAATTTCTTTTCCTCTGACATACATGGTTGGTGCAGTCTTCATGCTCTTCAACTTATTTTGCACCCCATTTCCATAGATTAGATCAACCTACTTTAGATTGACCTAACTCCCTGGGGGTTCACGCTAAATAGCTGTCAGCCGGGCGGACACGAAAGTTAATTACCTCCTTACAGCTTGTAGTAGGCGGGACGGACATTTAAGTCGGATTACCTGAAAGTAATCTAGTGAGACTCCCCGCGGGGATAGATCGATCTAAAACCTATGGGAATAGAGCCATGGTGATTGCATACGTCTATCTTTAAGACACTGTGGTAAGTCCTGTCCAGAACTTCTCCACTGGTTACTCTGCTTTATATATATTTTTGTTAATTTTCTAAAGCAGACATTAAAACCATCACTACTCGTCCAATACTGTGTCATTTCTTTCTCCCCTGCCTTGTCCAAATTATTGATAGTAGGCTTTGGGTTCTCTTTATTTGCTTTGTTATCCTAGATGTGTCACAAAAACAAACTTTACGTAATTTATTCCTTTAGTATTACTTACCATTATTATCTTTTCTGACCCCCCCCCCAAAAAAAAAAAAAAAAAAAGAAAAAAAGTTAGGTCAACTTTGCAACCATCCATCTTCCCAGAGTCCCTGTACTTCATGCCTTGAATGCTGTTAGGAAATTTTTGAATCTTTAAAAGAAAGAAGAGTAAGAGAATCACAATTAGATTGCACTTTAAATCTGATATTTCTCCCCATTACTGGAGGTTTATGATTATTATGATAGAGGTGGATTGGTCGACCGTCTTTGTGATTTACTACTAACTAGGCCTTTTTAATAAAAGTGATGTATATTCTGTTTATTTATCAGTTTTGAAAGTTATTATTGATAAAATATATGCAATAATTATTAGCTGTGATATGTATCACTATCCCAAGTCAACAGAAGTGCAGTGGTTGGTTTATAGTTAACTTGGTAACTTGACTGTTGCTTTTGTTCTTCAGACTGTTCAGTTAGCACTGCTCTTGAGTGTTGTATAAATGTATGTCATAGAATCTGTATAATTGTACATGTACTTATAGCGACACTTACAACCAAGGTGAAATTATTCATAAACCATTAGTGTCATGTGTCACTGCCTCTGGTTGGATATTGTGGGAGTTTTCAGTTTTCTCTTGGGTAATTTATGACTTTTTTTTAGTTTTATGGTGTGTATTTGCTAGATGAGATTTTAAATGAATGACGATATGTATTTGTTACTTTCCAGGCCGTACTTTGAGATGAAGGCAGAAGTGAACCACCAGTTAGAGGTACTGTAGCTTTATCTCTGTTTCATAACAATTCAGATAAAATCATAAAAAGAGAAAAATAAATCCTAAATAGATTTTTTTTACTGTAGACACTGAGTTGTCCTAAACTGAGTTTTTTCAGGAGTATGGGGTGTCAAAATGGAATGACAATATTTGATCTTTTTCTAAAAAATTTAGTTGATTTTATTTAATTCTGATCAATAAAATTATTTTTATATCTCTCTTCAGGAGAGGAAAAATGCTGTTGCTATGGTAGAGAGTGATGTCACGGTTGCTAAGGAAATCTACAAGGAGGCTCTTGCAAACCTAGAGAAGATCAGTAATGAGATTCATACAAAAAGGGGAACATCTTGCAGGAGAGAGCCCTCTGGTGGAAATATAGGTGAAGATAAACAAGAGCCAAGGGACGCTGATGTTTGTGACTCAGAATCTAATCAGGCTGAAGAACAGAAACAGTCACGCATTTCTCCAGAGAGGGATGCTGGAAGGAGGAAAGACACTTCTGTTACTTCCAACAAAAACTCAAATAACACCACCCAAAAGTCACCCGCAGAGGTGGCAACTTTCAGACGAGGTCAGAAGCAAAGAATGTCTTACCTCTATGCTATGAGGAATAGCATGGCAGACTATGATATTGGAAATATCCCCAAACCCAAAATAGATGGGAAGCAGAGGTCAATAAGTCTTTTTGGTCTGTTTTTAAAGCGGGTTAGTCCTCCTAAAGATGACCTTAAAGAGGACTCTAGGAGGAGCAGTGCTCCTCTAGATGTTTTAAAGAGAGTTAGCCCTCCAAATGATAATGCCACCGGGACAAAAACTAACCAGTCAGTGAGCACGTCTCATCCTGCCAGTAATCAGACTAACCAACCAGCATCTCTGTCTCATACAAAAGATACCGGCCACTCTGTGTCACCTGATTCAGAGGGTGCAAATCACAGTGCCAAATACGATGACCAAAATGCAATATCTCAAACAGCCAGTAACCAGATTGACAATTTTGTTCAGAAAACTGAAAGACAGAAAACTCAGCTCTCAAATCATGGGGAATTGTCAGATGATTCAGAAAAAGTCTGCAATATCCAGCCAGATCTCAGTGGTACAGGCTATGAGGAAGATGACACTAGGTTCAGGCAGCTGCCAAGGAGACATTCTCCAGAAAGACAGCTATCAGAGGGGACTACCATACTAGTGCAGTCTACCAATGGGAACCCTTTAGTTCATGTGGAAGCTGGCAGTCCTGAGGCAGCCAAAAATGGTGCCTCAGAAACTGTGACTCCAAAAACGGGTGCTGACTCTGCAAGTGACACTCAGACCAGCCAATCAGATTCGGGCTTTCACGTCTGCAGTGATCCTCTCTCGGGGAGTTCAGAAGTGGAGCTGATATCTGTCCAAAGCAAAAAAGGCACAAGTAATGGTGGCAGTAAGCCAAATGACAGATCGTCGTATTTATCAGTGCCAAATTCTGGCAAGATAAACCAGAGCTTGGATCAGTGGTCCGACACAGAGAGTGTGGGGTCAGTTTGCTCCTACACGCTGGACGATGATGCCATTGAGAAGTGTATGATAAATACAAGCCAGATTGAACTAGAATTTGAAGATATAATGGCCCGGGAGGAGAGAGGATTACAGGAACTGGATGAACATTACAACAGCTTGCCGTCAACTCTGAGCAAACTGGAGATGTTCTTCCAGAAAAGTCCAATGTTAGGGAAGAGTGATCAGGAAGAATCGGACAGGGAGGATCAGGAAAATGACTGCGATTCTACATTGGCGCAGAATGATGACAGTATATCGCCAGAGACTGAAGATACAAAGATATGAGTCCAGACATTGATTTGAAACAAAAGGAAAAATAGAAGAGAGTAGTAAACAAAACTCTGAAAATGGAGTAGGGTAGGTTAGGTAGGGGGGATTCCGGGGGTACGAACTGTGAAAAAGTTTGCTCTGGGCAAAATGTAATCTACCGGTAGGTGCATGAAGGTTTCGTGGTAATGGTCTAATGGAAATGAACTTGCTGTACAATATTTCCATAACAATTATTGAATAAGTTCTAAATAGATCAGTAATTATAGAATATTATCTTCCCTAGAAGGCTTTCTGCAAATTTACAAGAGGGATGTTACCATGCAAACAAGGTCTATTGCAATTTTGCAAGAATCTGAACATTTTGTTGCAATCCTGCTGCAAACTTAACAGTAAGGTACTTTGCAGCAATACATTTTCATGCAAACCCCTGAAACTGTTTGCCACAAAGAGGCAAACATTTAAAATCATGCCTCTCTGTTTGCAATTTTATAAACTTAGATTCTATCCAATACTAGGTATGCAATGGAAATTATAACTAAAGGACTTCACTTTTTGCCTTATCTTTGTATGTCCATGGTGTTTGTTTTTAAGTTTGGTGTCATTTAGTCTTTCAAGTTTAAGCACAAAGGGATTTGAATAACATATAAAACTTACCAGTGTACAATATGATAGCTGTAGACGTGTCTGTAGAGAAATGAGGGTACTTCCATTTAGAATTTAAAAAGAGTGAAGAGTGCTATTCTACAATTGAGTGATATGATGGTGCTTGTGGTGCTATTTAAGTTTGTTTTATATATTGATCTTGTATTCACAGTAATAGGCTGATTTAGACAGTGTTCTGTCCCTTCAAAAATTCCTAAAAAATCATTGTTTGGCGTGCAGAGATACCATGCACAGTAACTGCCCCCCTGCTCCATGGGTGTCACAGTGTATGGGAAAATACCCTCCATTATCAGCCTGTTTTTATCGGTCATTTTCATGAAAACAAGAAAGGCACGCCGAGTCGTTTCCAGTAATTGCAGACACTGTCACCTCCAGATATGTTAACCCCATACCCCGGATTTCTACATACCGTATATAGGAGAATATCCTGTAATCAGCATGCCTTTTCTGTTTACTGGAAGTGTTAGAGGATGATAATTTCCATAGTTTCAATGCACTTAACTCTGATTCTCTTCCCTCCCCCCCCCCCCTCACTCCTTTACTGAACTCTGGCCAGGTTCACCCGGTTATATGTTGTGCCTGAAGTAAAAAGTAAATCGGGAATAATAATGGGATAGCTACTAGCATTAGCTACTAGTATTATAATTTATAATTTGCCATGCAAATGTGTTGTGCAATAGTGATAGTGTTACAGAAAATATGGTTGAAATAATATAAGGATGCATGCTGCACGTTTATTTGATTTTGTTATAAATTTAATATTATTAAATTCAAGCTATATGGATTGTCACTTTTCACAAGGAATTAGAGAATTCTTAATGTCCTGCTTTGATGTACAAGTGATTGACATATTTCTGTAAAGACATTTGAAATTCAGTTTAGCATTGCATTGAAATAGAACAAAAAATTCAGTTTAGCATTGCAATGAAATAGAGCAAAAAATTCAGTTTAGCATTGCAATGAAATAGAGCAAAAAATTCAGTTTAGCATTGCAATGAAATAGAGCAAAAAATTCAGTTTAGCATTGCAATGAAATAGAGCAAAAAATTCAGTTCAGCATTGCATTGAAATAGAGCAAAAAATTCAATTCAGCATTGCAATGAAATAGAGCAAAAAATTCAGTTCAGCATTGCAATGAAATAGAGCAAAAAATTCAGTTCAGCATTGCATTGAAATAGAGCAAAAAATTCAGTTCAGCATTGCAATGAAATAGAGCAAAAAAATCAGTTCAGCATTGCATTGAAATAGAGCAATTTTTAATAGAACGCTTCTGCTACAATGTCTGCTCATAAAAAGTAAACATTTTAATGGATTTAAGGTTTTTAGATAATTTATAGCTTGGTTTTGTTGTGATCTTCGTGTTGTTTTGTCCATTGTATTGATCTCTTTCCAACCCAAAGCTTGTCTTATCAACCATATTGTGTATGGGGATATATTTAAGGTAGACTGTACATAGAATGCATTCACATTTAAGTGATGTGTTGTAGTCTTTCTTTGTTGACAGAATTAAATAAATTATTTATTGCCCATTATTTATTTCTTGTCTGTTATTGACCTTTTTTTTTATTAGAATTTCATATTGAAATATTCATTGTATAGCACATTAGATATTTATATATCCTTCCATATCCTTGGTCAAAAATCCAAACCCTGCATTTTTACATTTGTTTCTCTTCTAACAACCTAAAATGAGAACAATTAATTGGGTGGTATTGAAAAAAATCTTTAACACAAAAAATCTTTAATGTCAGTTTAAAACTTTGCTTACACTGGTATATGTAGGTAGCCTATATCTAACAGTGAGTAGATTTTGTAGGTACGCAACAGTACTGGAATGCATTTAATGAGACGCACTTATAGAAGCGTATTTGTATACTCAGTAAAGTTGTAATATAGACAGCAAAATTCCTAAACAGAGACAAGAAATCGTAACCAGCTCTTGCTGCTAACTAAGATTTTATTTCTAATTAACAAAATTAAGTGAACAATTCAATATTTACAATAAAATATCCAGAAGAGATTTCTTTATTGGAATGTTTCAGATGTGTTCATAAAAACTATCAGATCATTTGAAAATATGAATTGTTGTCTAAACAATGCTTTCTCTTGTAGAACATTACAAATAAGGTAAGACTGTTTACCTCAGTGATGTAACTAACTACCACAGGGTTACACAGCTCAGTGAATTGACCATTTAAACCTCTGATGGCCAGATCATTGGTAACTGGTTATATCACTATGGTAACTGGTTACATCACTATGGTAACAGTAACAGCCCAGTGAACAGACTGGACTACTTCACTCCCCTTGTACATATATTACCAAAACATTTTTTTGAAAAACAGTATATATCAAATTAGTTTTAATTAATTAAGTAATTATCGTTCATCTTTATGTGCTGGTACTTAATTGTTTGTACTAGTGTATAAAATGAGACACGGAATGCAAGGTACAATCACTGACACTTAATACCTCCACACAACCCTATCAACACTGTGAAACAATATGAAATCCAAGTTAAAATCATCATCAGTTCTAACATGTAAATCCTTCCATACAATGATACATGTTAAAATATCTGTAAACCAAAAGAAACTGAATATCTCTCTCTTTTATACATATTGCAATGCTCCTTTTAGTTTAAAATTTACTTACCAAAATGTTTATTTCTCAAAATGTTTCCATTTTAAAGTGTATTATTAAAAAATCATTAATATTTCTCATACAAAGTTGTAACAATAATTATAGCATAACCACTGCAGAGCCTGAAGAGGTTAAAAACTAACCAGGCCATCTTGGATACTCAAAACATTTCAATGTTTATAAAAATGCCAGTAAAAATCTCACAAAACAAATGCAGCACAGTAGCACTGTGTACATTCATGTTTAAAAACCGTGAAATTTTCCACAAAAATATTTCTATTGTCTTAAAACAATATGCTGGATTTCAATACTTAAAATTTCATAACACAGATACTGATTATTGCCAAGCAACTAGTGATGATAAAAATGTATGCAAATCACACTTTACACATCGTATCTTCACTGATATAATAAAATATTGTCTAGATTACAGGATCTCTGGCAAGATATCACTATAACCCAATCTGGTACATTATTTGCTGACGTATAAGGATATGGCATATGATGTCATGAGCACCATGAACCTGACTCGGCTTGCTGGCAAACGAGACATCAAGAAATTACAGGCAACCCAATGGGAAATGGCAAGTAGGAGCTCGGTCAATTTTTCACGTCACAGTCAACAACAACTTCTTCATCAATCACAGAATTTGAGGATCCTTTCTGCATATACCCCAATGTATATGCTCAATGACATTTGAAACTGGTGAAATTACTAATTGGAAATACTGGACTTTCTCTCCTGCTTTGTTACAGTGCTTGAACTAAATGCATCTCACCTTATTCTTTAAATTAGAGTCTACAGCCAAGCATAAGGTGCTAGCTACCAACGCAAACACCCCCCCCCCCTCCTTATAGCTGAAGTTCAATCACCAAATTGTATGACATTTTAATCCCAGAAAATTGGAATCTGCAATCAACCATACATATATAAATTATCTATTTATGTGAAAACCAAGCAGTGCTTGGTTGTTTTACTCCTTTGTCAACATATTTACACCACATTAGTCAATTAACTTAAAATATGATTATGTTACATTAAGTACTACAAAACAATATAGTGCTTACAATGTGATAGGAATTGAAGTTGATCCTTAGACAGAGGTTTATTCCTAAGTACTTTTACATCCAGTGTATGGAAAACGTTTGCAAAGAATTTTAGAACAATTGCAACAAACACAAAAAAATATGTACTTCAATGTATTTTGAACAAAGGAATGTTTTAACATTAAAATGGGCACATAACACGATGTCATTCAAAAATAATCTAATTTGCAGACACTTCTAACACTGATGCCTCTTAAATCATCCATATTTTAGTTTATTTTAGTATTGCATCTGCTTGCTTATTTTCCATTCAATAAAACCACTTTCTTCTGTGTTGTCTTGAAATTGCAAATCATTCTTAGGCAGATTTTTCTGAAATAAAGAAGTATAATTTTCATCAAACTGGCAATATGTGTCATATTAGCAGCAAACTACCCCATTCTGTTATATCTGCCAAGCTGTAAACACACAAATAAATTACACATTTTAAACTGAAATGATCAATAATAAAATCTTTGCCTGAGCAGGCTGAGGTGGGGTTGGGGTGGGGGTCCGCCAAAAGACTAATAAGTTTAAGCATATTACTTACACCTAGAGTGATTTCACATTACCTTAAAATAAAACACTTCTCAAATACAATGTAATCACTATTTCTAAAACAATACTAGAGATTATTTAGTGGGTAAAGCAATCAACATCAGTGTTCTGAAACAGGGCATTTGGAAGATAGTATTGAAAATATCTAATTATTGAAATAATTTTCAACATATCTACCTGTGTACTCTATACTTGTATGTAGTCTTCAAAGACGGAGAGACAGAGCATGGTGCCAAAGCCAAACAAAATCCCCAGGTTCTGCAGCAGGAAACTGATGCACTTGTTGCCAGGGGCTTTCATGTTGATCAGTTCAGGAAGCTGGGAAATTAAAGAAAAATAATTTGAAAGACAGGCTTCAGTTCATGATTATGTCTTGCCTGAGTCATCATTTCAGTCTGCTTAAATTTCTTTGCAGGGATTTCTGTTGGTCTGACAGAAATATGCAGAGGATACAGGGCATTTACTCACATTAAATAAAAGCTAATTTATAAATGTCACAATGCATCTTGTGCAAAACACAAAGTTAGGAATGCTTTCATGATGACAACCTTTTCCTTAGATCTAATATTTACCGATTCTATTTTTCCTGATAACTGACATTTGTGGTGGTATTGAACAAAATACAAAGGTTCCACCAAATCAGTAGCATAACATACACCATTGAATAGTTCTACAGATAAATTAATTAAATCTGATAAACAAACAACTGACAGAAGCAAAAAAAAAGTAATTTCTATTACCATGTCAACCAAGGAGATGTACAGGAACATCCCAGCTGTGATGGCAAAGATCCAAGATCTTGTGGCACCATCTATTGCTATGGCAATACCGATAAAGAGGCCAATGAAAGAGGCCAGAGCTGAGAGAAAATTGCACAGAACGGCTTGCTTGAAGTTGAAACCCCCAGTCAGGAGGATGGCAAAATCACCTAAAGTGAGAAAAAACATTATACTTAAGGACACGTCTTAATTTCTAACTACTGGTATATATTAGTGCTGTATGCTTCCTGACTGGATTTTACTCAATTGGGTCATTAAGGTTAATCTTAAAATTCAATGAAACTCAGGAAATTTGATCATAATTTAAGGAATAGAGTTTTGTGCCACAAATGTTTAAAAACGGTCTAAAGTTTGTCAATAAATCTGTTTCAAAAATCTAAGGCTTCGTTCACATGCAATGTCTATTTTCTATTTTCTATTTTCTATTTTCGGTATGTCTTATGATCACGCTCTGTGCCCTGAACATCCCGCGGCGTAATTACTGGCAGCGCGAGCCAGTTACTTATAAGAAGCCAGTAATTACGCCGCGGGATATTCAGGGCACAGAGCGTGATCATAAGACATACCGAAAATAGAAAATAGAAAATAGACATTGCATGTGAACGAAGCCTAAGGCTGACCTTTTAAAAAGTAGCTATATATATTTCTTTCAGAATGTAGTTTTAACTTAAAATTCTTAAAAGAATTGTTACTGCAAACATATCACTGTCTGTATAGTTGTCAGCTTTCAAAACATTCTATTATTTTTCTTTTATTTGCCACAGATTGACCAGAATTATATAGACATGCATTTCCATTTATCAAAATAAAATTGAATTTTTTTTTCGACTTGTTAACAAGATGTCAGCTAAGGTTGATAATATTTATATTGGACAAGCATACAGAAAATTTTCAATTTCTTATAACATTCATAGATGTCCTAACAACTTGTTTAGCTTTCGTATTTTAATCATATTTTCATAGTTCAAAATATGTGTAATTGTGCTAAGTGTTATGAGTTAAGGAGTATTATTTTTTATGGATTTAAAATAAATTCAACGGAAGTGAGACAAAAGTGTACAAACAATAACCGGAAATAAAAAAACAATCTTAAGTTTATAGTTTGATTAAATGTATAAGCTAACCACAAAAATAATAATGGAGTGCATGTAACAAAATATAAATGATATCTTGTTAATTAACAGAGACAGTAAATTAATCACAGCAAAAACTTGAAATCAGTATGACAGTAGTAGTCCACTTCCAGAACAGTTAACAAGAAAACATCTCTTGGCTATAAAATTATTTTAAAAAATGGTGTTCAACTTGACTGATAAAATATGAAGGTGTGCAAGTTTAAATATGTAAGAAATCTGTATATATGAAGTTTGTAGGGTAATAGGGAAGAAAAAGGATCATTTAATTTGTTATTTTGATAGAAATAATAGTGAGGATTAACTTCTACAGGAACACAAACTAAGAAATGCTCTAGGGATTAAAACATTTTGAGAATTTCAACTGGGGAGTATAAAATCATGCAAGTTCTAAATTAAATAATGGTAATAAAATTCTACAGGGGGGCATCAACATGCAATACTCAAGGAAGTGAAGGTTATTTTTAGTACACATACTAATCAACTAAATTAAACATGCTCTAACAGAAATACTAAGTTTTACATCTATATCTCTTTGTGAACCTCTTACCAAACTCATGCGGCAACTCATGACAAAACACAGCGATGGCTGTTGATATCCCAGAAGCGATACCAGACGTAAAGGCAGCCCCGATGGCAATGCCATCTACAGTATTGTGGAGAGTATCTCCGATGAGAGTCATGTATGCTACGGGCTTCAACCCTAAAACACACATGGACAAACAAAAAAACTAACAGGATGATCTACAAGCCCAATGACCTAGATTTCCATACAAAAAATAGGTCAGATTTCTAACTACTACAAAGGACCACTACGCCAAGGGATGGATAACCTAAAGGAAATCATCATCAAGAATGATTTAGGTGGATGAGGGGAGGGGATGTATGATTGGCAGGTTAGAAAAATCATGAATAAAAAATTCAATCAAAACATACAGTAAACATGCATGGTCAAAAGAGTTGTGCAGGTATTGCAAGAAGTTACCTACAACACCTTACAAATTAATTTTCTGTAGGGAAGCATTTCAAATATTCTTCCTTTGTCATATTAGGGATGTTCTATGTATTTTGAACTGTCCTGAGACATACTGAACTGTCCTGAGACATATACTGGTTAAAATTTGACTTTATTTTGAGTATCAAATCACATTATTTATTTAATAATTTTGAGGCAATAACTTCTTAAATTCATTTGGCTCTTAAATACTTATTTTCTATAAGCACTAAATAAAATATTATACCAAAGCCAGGTATTTTGGATGCAGAGAGGGAAATTCTGAGATGAAAAATACAAAGAAGACAAAGACACGCCAAACTTGAAATGTTTCCCTATAAAGGTACATGTGGTCCCCGGTACAGTATGCATAACTAAAAACAAAATGATCAGCTGAAATAAGGAAATAAGCAAACATCAAGGTTAGTAGGTCACCAGGTTATCCAGGGATGGGAGAGGCTGTTCCAGATGGTCCTTTCTCTTGGTTCAGAACAAGGAAAAACATCATTCTGTGAACATTATGAGAACAACCATCTGGAAAGCCCTTGAATCTGAACGAGTAGCAGCTAAAAAGTGAAATAATAATTGTCCCTAGAAAGGTCTTCCCGGTGTTGTGATGTGTATATGCAGGTGGCTAGACCCAGCAGCCATCTTGTTTCCAATGTCTCCAACCTACCGAGTTCATGGGGAAGCTCGTGAAAAAATACTGCTATTGCCGTAGCGATACCAGAGCTTACACTGGCAGCAAAGGCGGCTCCCACTGCCATGCCATCCGCCATATTGTGGATTGTATCGCCAATCAATGTCATCCAGACAACAGTTTTGATTTCTATATGGAACAAAGCCAATGAAGAAAAGCATGATGGTTTATATTACAATCATAATTATAACATGGTGGATAGATATGCTACAAATTGAATAACAATTAAAAAATTATCATATAGTAAAACCCTAGTACATGATCCAGTTATACAAACCTATATTTAAAGGAAGCTCACTGAGTTGAATCTCTGTGCACACCAACACATTTTTTATACATTTTAAAAATTAATACTTTTTAATGTAGTTAAATGTGTAAACCAATCAACAAAATCAAAAGAAACCCTGTAAAACATTGGTTGATAGAAAATAATTGTACAAAAACCAACATGATATGATATCACTGAAAAATGATAGTTAAAATCACCATTTTATGTTCAACAAAATTCCATAAAAAGCTATCATTGACAACTAAGCATCAAATGTTAAAGGAAGAGAGGTGAATAAGCATAATAGGTAACAAAACAAAATTAACCTGGAGTGAACACATGATTAAAATGGTGGTAAGTAACTGGCATGTACATCAACAGAATGCCTTTAAAAAGATTCAATTCATTATCTTTGAACATAAAAAAATAATGAAGAAATACAAACAGATAAATATTTGTACATGTAGTTAGCAACTGTAATCTTGACCTACTCATATAATAGTGACCTTGACCTACTCAAAACAGTGTCCTTGACCTACTTTTATAACAGGCTACATTCTCCTCCTCTTCCTCATCTATCTCCTTGGTGATGCTCAGCCTCCTGGGCGGACTGGTCGCCTCTGGCTCCTCTGTTGTGACCTTGACATCTGGGAGACTTACAGCGTGTCCGTTTTCTACACCATTCTCCATCTTGTCAGCAAAACCATTCTCGTCTGTGACCTGAGAGATATCAGAGTGGCATAATTCAATTGTAAAATGACATTCTGACTAGTAATGAAGTATTATGTGAGACTTATTTTTTGTCATTCATCATCAGCTTCATTGAATTTTCTTCCTGATCTGTATTTTAAAACACAAATACTGTTTATTCCAAAGGAAATCGTTTTTCCATCAAAACTAATATACAGTTCCATTATATTTTCTAAAATCTGTGCATACGGCTGAATTTCCAGAGTTTGTCATTATAATTTGTCATTCCCTAGAAAAAATGTCAGAAAGTTTAATTTTGTTTAAGTACATGTACTTGGTGCAATAGAAAACACTGTTTTCTGATGATAACCGAAAAATATATTGTGATTCCATGATAGTTTGACATTTCTAAACCCTATATTGTAAAATGTTTTGCACCATTGATAGAAAAGTGGTCAAAATGTAGGCCAAACTTATGGCAAATCTCTAAACTGTCATATGCTTGTGATCCATACACTCTACTCACTGGATCCAGGTTAAAATTCAAGGGCATGTAGAATATATGAATATCACTTTTAAAATAAAACATTTAGATTGCTCAACAAACCTTAAGCAAACACATGAAATAAAAAGCAGAAAATGTTGTACATGACAGAAAATGAATATCAACTGAATAAGAAAGTTATAACATTCAGGGTCAAACATTAATTAAGCTTTGGTTATACCTGGCACATTATTTAGTCTTTTGCAACAAAAAGAATTCTCAAAATAAAATCAGTTAGTTAATTACTTACAAATTCTGCATTAAGAAGGCATTAATTTTTTTTTAATTTTTAGATTGCCATGTTAGTTTGTCAGTCAGCAGCATTCAACAGCTTTTTAATTAGTCTTGCAAATCATTGCACTTTCTTTCAAAAACTGCCAGGGTCTATGTATATTTAATATCATTTATCTCTTTATGTGCTGAAGAAATAGACCATGTGTAAACTTGAAGAAAAGTACCAAGCCCTTTGTTTGAAGCATCCATACAAACATTAGAAGAAGTGCATAGCAAGTAAAGCACAGTCAGGTTGAATTTTGCAACTCAGCTGAATTCTTCAGCGTTTGATAAAATCATCTGTCACTTACTCTTACTGATGGAACCTTAAGTTTACCCTGTCACATAAATGAGAAGAAAAATATTTTTGTTTGCAAAAACACACAATGAACATCTTTCAAATGAATTTTCAGACATGACTTCTTTCAAATTTATCATAAAAATCTGAATTTTTCTTGGCTGTTTCTTGCCTAAAGCTGTCTCAGAACCCCAGTGTTAAGGCCCAAAAACCATTTCATCTTTCTTACTTTGTTTTTCTTACAACCCAAAAATCATGTCTGAATTTTCCATCAGATAATAAGATATGTCATAACAGGGCTTACAACATTGTGCAATCTTATCATCACTCTTACTCTAATCTAAAATCATTCATTAATATTCTAAAATCATGCAGTTAATTTTCTAAAATCATTTGATTTATTTTCATGGAGTCATATCTTGTACAGGGTGACCCCCCCCCCAAAAAAAAAAAAAAAAAAAAAAAAAAAACAGAGCCCATAAAAATTTTATTCAACCCTACAAAAGTCCATAAAATTTAAAGAAATTTGCTCAACTTAAAGTTCAATATGTGTTTTGGCTAAAAAAAGACTCTACCTCTTTGTCAGCAAATTCAATGACAGACGTTGATTGTTTCAATTCCTTGTTCTTCTTGCGACGAAAACTTCTGCGAATCACTTCATCAGTATGGGCAAAATCTGCTTCCACTGGTTCCTTGTGGACTATTTCTGGTTTCTGAAAATATAGAAACAACACTATTGTATTTAATTTATTTATGTAATGAATAATGTATTAAATAATAATCATTTCTGCTTATTTACATTGTTGTCAACCTAGCTAAGAAATATGCTTAAAAGCAGACAATAAAACAACATAAGTCAATAATAGTATCTATAGTCACATTTTTAATCTTTTAAATAAACACCATTTCATATATCTATCAATAAATACTGCAATAGTAAGTATAATTAAACAATGGTAAATTATATTTTAAATTAAAAACTTCCCACGGACAGGACAAAGAGTGTGGCTGATTTTTACCATGATTCATATGTACTTAATAGTCAATTATTGTAGGGCTATACAATATAACAGAGTTAAAAGGTTATAAAACGCACCTTATCTGGTCCCATATGTGAATGCTAGAAATTAAACATCAGTAAGACATTAAACATTTAGCCAAGTTCAGACAAATGCATCTTTGAAATTTAACTATTATCAATAAAAGCATCTGCATTAATATAATGACAAATACAATAAGTTACATGTATGCTCATACTTGGACAATATACAATTAAATTAAGAAATATAAAGTTATGAGAATATATAGCATATTTGGCAAACAATGCAACATCATGCAACCATTTATTAGTAATTATTATGGGTAACAAGCTGGTTTGCAGGGGTTTTCCATGCACTATTGCTTGTTGAGCCACATACAGCTGGACAAAAATGTGTTTTCACATGGAATACAGCATGACACAGCTAATTGCTTTCAGCAAGACTTCGTTTAAGATAAAGCCCTCATCATGGAGTTTTACAAGATGTAATATCATGTGTGATTGATATCAGACTTTTGTCTGATAAATGACTTTACAAATACAGTCAGCTTACATTATGTCCTCCTCCAAGCATTCCCATCACAGTCTCTAACAGGAAGAATGCATACAGAGCTACAACAAAATAAATGTTAAACAGATAAAATGGATAATTTTGATTATTTGAAAACCTATTAAAGGTAATTGTTGTACATCGGTGGAGTAACATTACAAAAAAAAAAAAAACATGAAAAACACTTGGTAAGCTTACACAAAGGAATGATCATGAGTTCTACCTTCAGAAAAGTATAATTTACTATTGTTACAGCAATGTTGTTTATTTTACTCTTAAAATTATGAAAAATGCCATCTTGCATACGTCTTTTTTTTTTTTAATGTGCTACTATATAACAGTACATGTATAATCATCTATGCAGGTGTTTCTACAACAATGACCACCATACGCAGTATACACAATCCTTAATACACATAATACGCATAACACACACACACACACACACACACACAACTAAGCACAGTGGCAAGATTCAGCTTCTGAAAAATATATCACACCAATATTCCCCTCTTGCAATTAGAATTTTGACTAGCTGAATCATAGTTCTAAACCATACCAAAGATCACTATTTGCCCTCCAAAACACCCAAAATTTTTGATGCCTTTCACCAGGCGCCAAACCCCACGCCAAGGGGGCGATGGTTGGCTTTGCTTCCGAGGCTTGGCGTCCTGGACACCCGCCCCCCCCCCCTTCAAATAATCCTGGATCTTCCCCTGTAAACAAGCACGCGCACATGCACACATCTTGTAACGCCACCTACCTAGGAGTACCGTGGACGTGTACCAGACATAATTGTCCACCGTGATATTGTTGATATCAGAGTGGTTGTGACCCTGCTCCGCCTCGGCATCATGTCCATGAAGTCCCAGTGACTGGAAGGAATTGGAAATTAATAATAAAATTTAACAGATTAATCACAAGAAGAGGACTGGTCGTAACTCCCTTAATATTTTTCAGCAAAATCTGTTTGTAAATATTGGATTGAAAAGCACATGGAAGTAGTTTAAAAATGTGAAGGTCTTATCAATGCACTGAATATCTAATACATAAAATCAACGTGCAGTTAACCTTTGACACTCAATTAAACTTTATACCAAGTCACTTTATTTCAGGGGACTACTGCAAATTTATTCAGAATTGATGCTCAACAAAGCCTCAAGTCTATAAGTTACTAGACTAGTGCTCCTATGAGGTCAATCTTTGGTCTCCAGATCTTTGGAGAAAACCAGCTCCGGGAATGATCACCAGTTGTCACCACAATCACAATACAATTTCTTCCCTGTCAACATACATACCTCAGACATGAGCCTAGGTTTCAAAAAAAAAACAAAAAACTCTGAACATATATCATGGAGCCCAACACCTAACCTTGACGAACCTCAGGAACCATCAGAATCGAATTAAAAAATAAAGAATTTTGCTTTTCCGCGAAAAAAGCTCATGTCTGATACCTAAAAACCTTATGTGACTGTGGCAATATATGTTTTTTTCAGTTTAAATTTTTTGTTTCTTTTTTGGTAAAATACCATGTCAAATACTACCCTGCCCCTTCCCCTCCCCAATATTCATATCTAGAACACCTGTTTGCTGAGGTGAGGTGTTCTAGCTGGTACATACTGCTCCAATGACACTGTATTATCTCAAACTTACCTGTGGAATAAGATGGAGTAAAGCATCTCCTGCCATGGTCCCCACAGCCAGTGCTATGAATGTCTCCATCACATACTGGTAAGCTGTATGCCCCATGCACGGGATCAGGAACACTCCACCAATAGCAAGGAGAGAAATGATGAACACTGCAAGACTCCCGTACCCATACACTGAAAGTTAGGGAAAAAATTCATTTACAATAGAAAAATATCAATAAATAACCCTGATACATCATGCTTATTTTGAGGATGTCATGAAATTGTTAACAAGCTAGAGGAATACGATTTTAGTAAATATAGAAAGTCTCAATAATTATCAAAAGCTACATTCAAATGAATTCCGATTTCAACACAGTCATTACAATAGTTTTAACTAATAGTTTTTAAATATTCAATGGCCTTAAATACAACACTTATTAAGTACATGTATATTGTGGGAATGAAAAAATAACAGTATAGTATACAATTATCAACATCAACCATCTGAAATGCCATGTTACATTACTATGACAACCTTGGTTTATCAATTCAAAACATAACTGTATCTCAGATAGCCATTATTGTTAGATAGTTCAATTTTTTTTTTTGCCTTTTTTAGTGAGCATATAATGCTAATAGCAAATTGCCACTTTTGTATGCATATATTATTACATGTGCTTCTTAAATCAATAAATATGATTTAAAAAAACAACCACTGCATACTTTCTGCAGTGCTGGAGGCCTTGGTGTTGGCCTTGGTGGTGTTGGCAGGACTCCCGCTGCAGGCCCCAGTGATCTGTTGCTGTATTAATGCTGGACACAGGTCAGTAAACTGTGCTCTGGTTACTCCAGCCTCATGGTCCACCCCAAACACGGTCAGAAGATCCTCGCCATTAAAACACTGGAAACAAGATCAAAATATCCCCTTTTTATACTCATTTCCTGTATAGATATAATGTTTATAAACTACTCTTCGTAGATTGTACAAATTAAGTGCTCAATAAACATTATCATTATTATAATAGTTTTAGAGCATCTGGCACCTGCATTGATTTAATAAACTTGTTTTTCAAATATCTCAATGCATTCAAAATGAATAAATCTATTTTAAACATTTTATCAACAATTATGGAATAATGTTTGTAAATATTTGGAATCAACATGTACAGGTGAATAAAAAATTTATGAATGCATGAAGATGGCCACACCCTTTACGTACTTTCTCAACAGCCTCATGCTCGTGATCTTCTTCCATGGCCGAGGCAGAGGGAGAAGTCGTAGGGTCACCAGTTGCTCTCTTCTTTCTCTGCAGCGGTGAGCTGTGGGTGTCTCGTTTCTTTCTGCGGTGGTCATGGCCATCGTGACCACCACCTCCTTCGACAATGGTACCTGTCTCTCCTCCACTCACAGCGCCGATTTTCAACTTTGTAAGGAGAGCTTCAAATGCTGAAAACACATTTCAAAAATTTTTTATAAACATTTAGTGCTTCATAATTTTGAATGTTCAAGACCCAAAGAAACTAACTTTTTTTTTTTTGGGGGGGGGGGGTTCTCATACAAAAATGTATTAAAAAACATGCAAAAATTTATTTCTTACAAATTCAAACAATATCTCACAGGTCGCAAACCATAACAACATGACCAATCCTAAAAAATAAGTGGCCTTTCTAATAAAATCATGTCCATCTTATAGAAATATTTCAGATCCTTTAAAAACATTTCTCAATTCACTGACCTTCCTCAGATAGTGTACCATTCTCTGTGGTGACATTGAGGGCCTCAAACAATGAGTCTATAAACAGAGCTTTGTCCACTGTGTTTGCTGTAGTCTCTTCACAATGGGCTTTTATTGCAAAACCTGGAATAATAATAATAATAATAATAATAATAATGATTATAATGATAATGCATAAAATATATACCAAAAATTGCTCTATGACTATGTTTAAATAAACAATTAAATTGGAATTTAGAGTTCACATCTGCTTTTCATTTTGACCTCAGTGTAAGAATATAAATTACACTTTCAGCTCATTGGATCTGTGAAATATAATGAAATTTTTCATTAAAGAAAAAATATTTCATTGCTTCTTTTCATATCTATAATTTGTCAAGCTTTTATCATCATTGGCTCTACAAAACATCGTCTCATTCTTGTCCTAAGAAGCATGTAAAAATACTGCATAGGTTTAATTTCTAAAATGATACCAAAATGAAAACTAAAGAAAATGTTGATAAAATCTGGGGTTTCTAATGATAAAAAATATGTTCAGAAGTAAACAAATTTGTTGTTTTTTTTATCGCAACATTACTAATCTTAACATGATCGCTGTCAAAAATCAGACAAACATCCGCAAGTCATCAGAGGACAACTTAATTATTATTATTATTTTTATTATTTTTTTTTTTTTGCTTTAAAGTAGTATACCGATAGAACAGTTTCGTAAACAAGGGAACCTGTATTGATTGTGATAGAAGGACCCTTTTATTGCAAATTTATCCCAACACTAACAGAACTTGAAGTTATGTCTCTGTGAAATATTTGTAAATGCAAGTGTTATTTCAGGAGAAACACAGATATGAAGAGACTTAATGTCCAAAACTTCAGTTTTGCTGAAGAAAGGACATTTAGCTGTTTTGGTATTTTTTTACCAACTCAATGTGGGTTTACAGCTAGAAATTTGGTCTTTACGCAAAATCTGGTATCTGTCAAAAAATGGCCTTAAGTCAACACCAAATATATTATCCAACTCTTTGAACATAGGGAGAAAGGGAGGGACAGTGATTGCTTCATTTTTTCACTCAAACTGAACTTTTTGCACTCTTTTCCAACACTTTCAGACAGGTGCATGGATTTTTTTTCACTCAAGCCCAACTTTTTGCACACTATACCAAACTTATCAGATAGATTCATGGTTACTATCTTGCTGTCATTACTTCTTACACATAGACAAAAGCATCTATCTCAATAAAATCTCTCACTGAATTCCTCATCTGTATAGAAATCAAATCTAAATTATAGTTCTGAAGCTCGAAAAATTATTTGAATCTGATTTTTAGTTTAGCTGATATGTGGCTTCAGATTTTGGCAGCATTATTTCAATGTACAAGTGGACTGAGAAACTGTCATCTCTCTAATTTGCTAAGAATATGCAAAATCATTTTTCATGCAAAAAGGGGTCCACTGTTTTAGCAACATAGCAAGTATTTACATTCGTTTTTTTTTTCTCACTGCAAAGAACTTTTTAAAAATTCCCATTTTCAACAAGTTTTTATTAACAAGTTCCTTCATTTCTTCCACGAAAATCAGATCCTCTTTATGATTGTTTGACATGCGTACCTGTCAACAAAGAGGGAAAAATTGCTTCCTTCTCTGTCTTGTCACTGAAGATATTCTCCAAACATTTGAAAATCCCCTACAGTCACATTTATATCCTGCAAATTTATCATTTACTCTTTTTTTTTTCTCATAAAAATGTACTTTCTGGTAAATAGCCAAGCCGCTTTTCACAACCTTTGAATCAACGTTTACTCATAACCTGACACCTCCTTTGGAAAACAGAATAATATTACTTCATTCTGTTCAAATTTGATAAGTAGAATTACCATAATTGAATAATAACTGTCACAGCTTCAAAAGCTCTACAGGAGCCACTTGTATACTGTACTAGTACTTACAAGTAAACACTCCCCTTACTATCAGGTGTGAGTCAAGGGCACATTTAGTGATATACAGTGACTATGACATATATAATTTAAAGCTCAACTGACAACATGTTATTTAAGAGAGAAAAGTAGAATTAAGTACAGTGGCACCAAGCTCCATCATTTTTCACTGTATTGTACTTCCTGTCATGGTATTGTAGTCTCTTGGCAGGCTATTGTTCACCTTCAGACAGACTCCTGCCAAATCAGATGATTTTGGGTTGTTAGTAAAATAATTGAAGGAAAGGCCCAATGGCCTTATGACTGGGGGGTCTGGTGGTCTCTTAAAACTACCAAGAAAAAAATCATCATATCCTGATTAAATCAGAAAAACATGTCTGTGCAAACTGCAGTGCATTTCACCAAAATTTATGACATGTTGGTACAATTTTTATAAGAAAAAATAGTTTTCATTTGATGATTTTGTAGTAAGGAACCATTCTTTCACCTAGCCGCCTCTCTTTTTTTTTTAATGACAGCCTTCATAAAGATCACAGTCTTCATAAGATAATTTTGTCAAAATAATTATACCTCAGTTGGCAATGCCATAAATCAAATGAAACACAGCATGTTTTAAGCCTTCTTTATTACTGATTTAGCTTAAAGAATTTCATTGAGATTTTAAAACAATTCCTGCATATACAACAGTCCTGAGCTAAGAGACCAGTCCATACAATTACTTATTAGGTTGATTTAATTACTTAAGGTGCTGATTCATCCATTCAAAAAATACACATCTTTTTTTCCTCTTATCACAAGACACTCAAATATTCCAATACTGTCAATCCCAAGATTTTTACTAGTCTTGAAATAAGACAAGACATTGGATTATTAATGTTGACATAATTTATAGGTAACATAACATTTGTGACTCAATAACAGAACATTACAGAAGGTTGTCCATCCATAAAAACTGTTATAAAGGACTTAGCTGTTTTGCAAAACTAGGAAAAAACTTGCCACCAGCCATTCAAACTGGCTCTCATGGTTTGCTCAGCACAGAGCTAACAACATATTTGTTCTTTCCTATCAGTGTCAAAATATCCCATTACTGTGGTAGCATTATAGTTTAATACATGTAATGCTACTGGTAAACATGTAATACTTAAATGTAACCATAAATCTTTCTCTCAAACAAGCATTATTTGCCTCTCAAAAATGATTTTATCCATGCTAAAATACTGAGTGGTTAACAAAAAGAGAGAGAGAGAGAGAGAGAGAGAGATAATTCCGTGTGTGTGGATTCTTATTAGGTCTACTCAGTAAAAAATGGGGTGAAAATGTCAGCAGAACTATAAGAAAAATTATGAACATTCAAAAAAATACATTCAAATCCACAAAATCCACAATATTCAATCCACATAATAAGAGCTGTATAAGAGACTAAGAGCGCATTCTCAACGAATTAAGCCAGGCTTTACAAAGCCGGTGACCTAAAAATGGCGGACGTACATGAAAGAAAAACCGCCTAATCTTTTAATAGTCTCTCCGCCTCTCACACG